GTGGTAAGCGACTTGTCCGCCCGCGATGGTAAGCCGAGCGGCAAGAAGTCCAGCGATCTGTCGCACATACTAGGCACCAGCGACACCGTGCCTACGGACGCCCAACTTGATCTAATGTCGTAAGTAAATTAAAAATATCATGTATTTATTTATTAAAAATGTAAAAAAATGTCAATTAGGAATTTTATTCAGTGTTTATGATTTTTTTACTAAGGATGGAAATCGCCTTTCAATAAATAATGACGCGAGACTTATTTTTTATTCATAGGATGGTAGAATCAGAGATCAGTGGGGGCCATAGAACTCCTAGGTTTGTTTTTATTTATTTCCGAGTTGTAATGTCGCACACCGCGCCGACCCTCGCCAACATACACGAACTCCTCTAAACTCACCGCTTTGCTTCTGTCCGTACGATGTTCACTGTCTCCACTCTCATCTACAATCTATGGACGTGTTGACGATGGGACTTCTCTATGAGTGCCAGCATTGCCAGAACAATTTGAAATAAAAAAAAAGAAATGTTTAAAAAAGAATCCTTATTTTTAATTGACATTGTAGCATGGGATGAAAAAAAATGTAGAAAATTGTAAATGTAAGTGTCAAATGAATCTTCAATGCTTATGTGAAAATTTAGTAATGTAAAAACTCGTTGGCTTTATTTATTTAATTTGTACTTTCGATGTGAATAATCCCTTTTTTGTTCGTAAAAATCTGGCAATGCTGTTGTGTAGTGGCTTTCCTTTCACCCCGGTGGACTGTCATCTAAACTTTGAAGATAAATTCCTAACTTGTGTGTACCGTTCATACCATTTTACATTACGTGTGGATGTAACTCACCATTGTATAGCGTGTGGAGGAATTATATAACACATTCAAAATTTACCTTACATATTAACTATGTTCACTGGGTGTTGCTCGTGATGTCTCAATGTCTTGTAATTTTTTGTACATTTATTTCTTATAATGGTCTAAGTAATCCTTTTCATTTAATAATAAAAAAACTAATCTAAAGTGTAAATCATGTTTTGTTTTCACTTCATTTAAAAAAATGTGTTCTTTCAAGATTATTTAAAAAAATTACATTGTTATTTCTTTAAATGTAATCTATGTAAATATATTTCATATGTATAATAAAAAATAATAATAATAATTAAAAAACAAAATACCGGTGTAGTAATTGTTTAGTAATATGAAAGTGAGTGTCGGTACAGGGGCAGTGGAGGCGTGGGGTCGACGCTACTCGACTCGTCGCAGTCTCTGTCGTCCCTCGCACGGCGCATGCTCGCAGAGATCTGCAGCGAAGAGTGGGTGCTGCAGAAGTGTCTGCAGAACCCTGACGAACTCTACTTACCTGATATGCTGCTGGACTCCATGCTCACACCGAGGCAGGCACAAAGGTAATTAGTTTATCTGTCTGTTGTACTGTGTATATTATGAATTGTACAAGTGAACTGCACAAGTATTTTTGTTTGTTTCAGATTGCTGCACATGATATGCTATCCGGATACAGCTAGTCATACACACCCCGATCTAGATCAGAAGACTATGATCACGCGATTATTAGAGGTTAGTAATTTTAACCCAAAAAATATGCGCAAGTGTTAATAATTATTGTAATTTCAAACTATAAGGTATAGTATTGTGGACATAATGAAAGTAAATGTGTGTTTGTTATGTATCAACATTTTATGCAACAATAACATTTTGTCTAAAATAGATGTATATAAGCAGCAATGTAATTGGAGGCTTTTACTAATAATGAGGTCCATACAATATAGGAAAAAAGTGTATACTAATATTATTAGACTAAATATGTTGTATGTAAAAACATTTATATATGAAATTACATAAAGCTAAATAAATTGATTTTAATCCAGTCTAGTTTGATTTAAAAATCACATACAGATTAGTAGTTAATTTCGCTTTAACGTTTTCAGAACCTGGAGCAGTGGTCGTTGCGCATGTCGTGGCTGGACCTGCAGCTGATGTTCAAGCAGTTCGAGCCGGGCTCGCCGGAGCT